ATGTGCTGTACTACATAAAGTCCACTGCATGGTCGACCAAGTAAGCGTACGAGAGAAACGACAAAAAAACAGTCAATTAAAGGGAAAAATATGCCGCAATTAGACATGTTATAGGCTCCAGAAGAAAAAATTGTGGCGGGCCATCCAAACCCTCTTAAGGGAGTATGCACCAATAGTAGAGGAAAAGAAAAAAAAAGTTTGGCCAAAATCCATGATGACGTATTTTCAGAATGGTGAAATTTGTCAAATTTTCACCAAAATTCACCATTTTCACTACCCTTAAAACCTCCCAGATGGTTCTCAAACAACTTTTAATGCTTTTCCCACATTCCTAAACCCTCAAGAACACCTACAAAAAATTTTGAAAATTTTTTTTTGTTTTTACTATTTTAAACCTTTTAAAACCATAAAACTGGTGCAAAAACTAAACCGTTCAAAATTTTTTCAAAAAAATTTACATGGTGAGTCAGGGGCCGATACCGAATCGATTGATACCACTTAGGTCGAAATCCGAGGACCTCGATTCCAAACCGTCGTTGGATTCACGTGGAATGTCCCATTTACGTCAAGTGAGAAGAGACTTCATAAACTTCAACTGACAGAAGACGTCCGGAGAAAGGAGGAAGAAAAAAGTTGAATCGAAAAAGGTGAATGAAAAAAGGGATGAGCTTTGAAATTCCATATTCAACTCAATGAATGTATATTCCGTAGGAAATATTGTGTGGCTATGGAAAGGGCTATGGAATGAAATAATATTATTATGGTAAACTATAAACCAAGAACATTTTCCAAATGCAATTTTTACAGGTGCTAACAAAAATTATCACAAAGTCTTTAACTATATACGTTTGTACTGACGATAGATCAATGATCAAGGTGCATTTCAAAGCCCTGAATAAACTTAATTTTTTTCAGAATCGGAGAAGCAATATCTGCTGTTTAGAGGACTAACTGCCGCCAGTTTGATTTTTAACAAAAAAAATTCGCCAGCATATGCAATTTAGTTGACTTTACCTTTAGCTTCGAGTGTTTCCGGTTAAGTCATAATGACACATATAAGGCGCAACAGATCGATTCAAAGCGATTCTGGTCCGATATTCCATATTTTCTAGTTTCTGCCATAGACTTGTGTAAATGTCAGGAATGTCAGACAAAATGTTCCAAATGCTAATAGGTGTCTTGAAAGCGTGATAAATTCTTTAACAGTCTGATAACTTTCCGATGTTCTGACATATTTTCTGGTAGCCTTAACTTATTGCTTGAAATTGTCATTGCAACGGCTGAAAGTGTGTTTGCCACGTCTGCCATCCTGATGTAGTCGGATAACGTGAGAAACACATTTCATTTGAGAGATGTTAGTCTGGCTGTAGTGTTTGTGCGGATCATTTGTGTTGCATTCGTACATAATAGCGTATCTACCGTGGGATTTCCAGTGAAGGTACGTTGTTCTGTCAGATGATCAATGATTGGAGAGTTGCCTTTTTGCGCTCGGAGCAGGAAAAGGCTGCGTGGGGGCTTTCCTTGGAGACGTGGATCATCTGCTTCCATGAAGGTTTCATAAATAGACATTTCATTTTCCTATTTCACCTGTTTTTTACTTTTCAACGGCCTTCCAGGATGTTCGCCTTCGACGTTTTAAGTGAAAATTAAGTTGTAGCTGGATTTTTTGCGGCAACCAGTGTAAGCGTTATTGCCATTTCCCCTAAAACCTCTGATAATGGGGACCATGTTGCATTTCCGTCATCCCCTATGGAATCCATTGGTGAATGTGTAAAAATATTGGGATTTGAACAAAAACAGCTGAAACCTACTTTGCTCTGTAACCAAACTCACTGTCACCATGGCAAAGCGTAAGAATAACTGTGCGCAGCCACGATCGATACCTTTTCAACGAACGCGACCTTTTGTCGAAAGTCGTGGCGCAGATATAAATTGGGACATCACAACTCTTGTCAGGTGGTCTGAGCCGAAATATGGCCCATCAACTATGAAGTCCTTCGGCAGACGAGAAAGGTGGTCACCGCTCATGGGGGAAAGTTCTCGCGCAGTGGCGTAGAAGTCCACTCCACGATGGCCGGCCCGCGAGGAATGTCGTGTTTGGCGCTGCTCGGCGTGGCACTGCTCGTCCCAGTTGCCGCGCTCTCGCTGCGCTGGGACTCCGCTTCACCCAAGAGCGACATCGAGACCTTCGCGGCGAAGTTCATCCACAGCCTGCTCCAGCCGGCCCTGCTGCGCACCGGGCCGTTCCCTCCGCAACTGGTCGTCATGGGGACGCCGCCGTGGCTGGACGCGTTCCTGGGCCTGCAGGACGCAGCGCCCGTGCTGCTGGTGCCCACGCCGACTGGGCCGTGGCCGTCTCCGACCCTGGAGAATGTACTTTCAGCACCAAGCTCAGTCCTAGTGGTCGCGGAGCCCGAAGTGCAAAAATTGACCACCTTGCTGGCAGCCTTGAACAATGTCATTCCATGCAGGACACTGCTTTGGACGCGGGCGAATGCTGTCTCGGTGGATGAAGACCTGGACAAACTTGCAACGGCTGCGACAAGGTTACAGCGTACGCGAGTCATGCTCGTTGTTCGCGGCAACTGCTACGGTTTGAATACTTACCCCGTCGCGGGTCACGCTTGGTTGCGCGCAGAGCCAAAGTTCTTCACGCCTTGTTACTTCCAAGGAAACACGTCAACGAAAGGTACCGCAATTTATTCTACCCAAGAAAAAAACTTGTCTGAAGCCATGTACAAAATGTTTTCAGAAACCACCTTCGATAAGTTAAGAAACATCACTGCTGTCAAACATCAAAACAAGAGATGGCGAAAGATTTTTTTATCGTGCCACTTTGACTTGTTGGGCACTACCCGCCCATTTTCTGTAGGAAGTGGAAACTTCTATGAGGCGCTTCCACAGGGCATGGACAAGACGGTAGTGTTGGTGCCCTCCGGCATGGGCAAAGGCAGCTGCCTCGGTGACGGTGTCACCAAAGAATTCACTACCCCACTCTGGATCGCCACTGCCTTGTCCTTCCTCGTAGTCGCCACCGGGTTGCTGCTGCTGGGCGGGCGCTCCACGGCCTTCCTGGACGCCCTGGCCCCTCTCGTGGCGCAGGCTGGGTCGCTGGTCGGCAGGGACGCGCGCCGCCCGTTGCTGGGCAGCTGGCTGCTTGTCTGCGTCGTCCTGTCGTCCGCCTACACTGGCAAGCTCCTGTCAGAACTGTTTTTCAAATGTACTGCTCGTGACATTCAGACACTGGAGGAACTGGTGGACTCAAATCTCAATATTTATGTTCAGACAATCGGCTTGTCGGTCGAAGGCTCATCTCCGTTGCCCAGCGTACTTGCCGGGAGAGCAAACGACATACATGGGCCGATGGCGGACAACCTGGAGGCCGTCGTGAACCGACGTGAACAAACATTGGGACGCTGCACTGTTCGGGATTATTTTGTGAAATTACGATTAATAGTCTGTTAAATCTGTACCACGAACTGCTCGTAAATTTCAAAAACGATCTGATCATCCATCTTTTTTTCGTCAATTTACAAAAATATTCTTAAACTTACAAACTTCATCCTCAAATTTTGGTCGTTTCAGGCATTTTTTCTTCCTATATAGTAAGGAAACAACGGCCGAAAACGCACTTTTTCAGACTTGCTTTTACAATCATACTTGTAAATTAACGATTTCACCTGTAAATTTAAGAGGCAGTTTGTAAAATGATGAACAGATTGTCAATTTACAATTTACTTTGTAAAAAAACAGTGCAGTTCGTGGTACAAATTTAACAGGCAACTATTCTTAAAAATAAAACTTCATTTGTAAGAAAACAAGTTTACGCGTTTTAAAACGAGAATAGTCGTAAGATAACGATTTTATCAGTAAAACTACGATCTTTCGTCAGTAACATAAAGATTTCATCGTAAAATTACGAATTTATTCCTAAATTTATGAGTAAAGTTTGTCGAAAATATGACAATTGTTCATGTCATGAATCTTGTAGTTATTTTACGAATTATTATTTGTAAAATTACAACACTAATTGTTGGGATTACTGTTGTAAAATAACGACTTCTCTTAACAGTGTGGAGTACGAAAAATTCACCATGGCAGGACTGCGGGCGCGTGATACGAACGCGGCGGGCTTGCGACAAGGCCCGTTTGAGGCATTTTTGAGGTGTTTTTAGGCCCCTAAACACACATTTGACCCCGTAAAAAACCGTCTGAGGTCAAATTCCGGTAAAACCTCTTTTGCCCCTTTAAGAAGAAGGAATAAGGAGCATTTTCACCAATTTTGAAGGAAATCCAAGATGAGGTATTTTGGTGGTGTTAAAATGAAAATTGAAAACTTTGCGCTGCTACACTGCAAAAACTATGAACGCTAGAAACGTGTTCGAGCGCGGGATCGATTCCATATTTTATGCTCTTTCCAGCGGTAGTCTCATTTTTTCTGTAGCTTGAAAATTTGCCGAGATATTTTAACTTTTCTGAAACTTGTCACTAATTTCTACGAAAACCATCAAAATGACCCATGCCCAGATCTCGGGAACGGCTTGACCGAATCGGCTCAAATTTTGCACACATCAACTAGACCCTAATTGGTGACGATCCACCAAAAATGAGCGAAATCGGTGAGACTGAATCCGAAAAGTGTCTCATTTAAAAAAGAATTACCCTATTCACTGGTTTTTTGACAAAGAGGCGTAAGTCCACAAATTGGCAAAATCCACTTTTTTTCATAAAACAATTTGCAATGGAATAACAAGTATACTGGTTTTTGAAAAATTAAAATATCTCAATAAATGTAGAAGATACAGAAGGTGTCCAAAGGGCGTAAGTCCCATCCAATTTTGACAAAGAGGCGTAAGTCCATCCATTTTCTGACAAAGAAGCGTAAGTCCAGGTGATTTTTTGACAAAGAGGCGTAAGTCCAGGTGGGTTTTTGACAAAGAGGCGTAAGTCCATTGAGCATTCTGACAAAGAGGCGTAAGTCCATTGAGCATTCTGACAAAGAGGCGTAAGTCCATAGGGCATTCTGACAAACAGGCGTAAGTCCATAGAGCATTCTGACAAACAGGCGTAAGTCCATAGAGCATTCTGACAAACAGGCGTAAGTCCATAGACCATCCCGATAAACCAGTGATAATTAACCGGAGACGAATGTCCACAGGTAATGTGGTGAAAATGGTGAACGTCCACTCATGAGATCACTGAGTGGTTTACTCAATACTGTTCCAATCAAATAATGACTTATGAATCCTACAAAAGTTTTTCTTAATCTCATCTCAATTGCATGAGGCGTACAATTCGTGTCTCAGAATGGACTCTTAAATCTTTATGAGGGGGATCAGACCTGAAAGATCAGCATTCTTCCTCACCAGAGTCCGATGAAGATGGTGAATGGTGCATTCATCTTCTTAGGCAGCACCTGGCCTAAAAGTCATGAGGTGCAGTGGAGAGGACTCATCCAAGCTGATAACCTCCTCTTGACACCTTGATGACACAGACATCACTGTTTTTGTGTTGGGCTGGACCCTCAAGCCGCTGGGAGGTGACGAGACAGCCGGCATTTCGCACACGTTTGCTTTCCTGTTGTTTATTTGATTTCACTGACAGCAAGTGAATGGTGTGCGAAAGTTGAAAAGTTTACATTGTCTCTGGAAAACCGAAACGAACAACGAGACGAGCTTGCATCAACTAAACAGCAGACTACAAAACTACAAACAGTGCAGTTGCATTACATTTAAATTGCAATTGCAATCCTGCGGTCGGGGGCACTTCGTCGTCGTCGTCTCGTCGTCTGCTGCTATGAGAAAATAAAGTGTGGTGTAAACCCGTGAATAAATCTTCTGGAGAGAAAAAGCTCGGAAGGGTAAAAAATATTCCACTATCTTGATTTTTGCATCGCATGCTTTCGTTTTCACATAGCTCCGGCTGGGGCATGCTTTTTAAGCGGTCTTGTTTTTCTTTCTGGCAGTTCTGCTGAATTTTTCGTTGTTATTTTTTTGCCCCCACCCCACCCCACCCCACCCCTCAAAGCAGAAGACGGCTTGTTGCTCAGCGTGCTGAATGTAACCAAGTGATCTATCCAGGCAGCCTTTGCACTCTTCTTTGATTAACTGGCACCTCCCTTCTTTGGCTATTATATTAATTTTCTTCTGTTCAAACAAGTCTTGTTATGCCTCGCCTCATCCTAATTTAAGCTGCGGCCGTTTATAGAAGATGTGGTCATGCTTTCATACCTTGTTACACATTGCTTCATAGTTTCTGATTTTCTGCGATTAAAGCTGATCATCTCACGATGAAGATGATGCACCTTTTTCTGTAGCCGAAATAAATACTCTCCCTCTTGCTTGAGATAGCTTTATTACATTGTTAATAACCTGAGCTTGAGCGGTTGGATGACACAGTCCTCTTTGTTGCCACTGTCGTGTAGTATATTTGATTGCTTTTGTTTCAGGTTCATCGGAATATGCCAGAGAGTAGAAAGCAAGTGTACCTGCGAAAGGAAATTCTTCGTACCACCATGCATCACCAGCCTTTCTGCCGTTCCAGCTGCAGTCATCGTACCCAGCATCCAAATTTTGTGAGTACATTTTTTAATCATCGCTTGGGGTTGGCTACTCGTTACTTCCTATGATGGAGGTTTCCTTTCTCTCCCCGTTCTTTGCTTGTTGCAGTTGCCGTTGGTGGCACACCAAATCTAGCTAAGTCGAAATCAATTGCTCTTGTCACCGAGAGATGGACACAACAGCCTAAGCTTGAAGTAAATATGTGATGAGGGATAAGTTTGATGAGTTCATAGCAAGAACATCATTACTATTGCGCCTCATACTCCAACATTCTGTCTACAGTTTTCTCTCTAGTCATATTTTCTTCCAGACTGATTTCATTTTTTTTCCCCTTGTGGTCTCCTTGCCAATGTTCTTGTGTCTTACCTGGGACTGGTAGGTGAGGTGATGAACCCACTGTACTGATCAATGCAAAACCATTTGCTTTTTGGTTCATTGATATATTTTTAAAACAATTTTACTTTCAACTGTTGTTGTTTTTAGTGGGAAATTTATGCAAACAAATAAGTTGACTGTCTTTTAATTATAATTGTTATCAAGGCACAGTAAAGAAAGGATAAAATGGTTTTGATTACCGAATACTAGCTCTAAAGAAAACATTTTCTCTCAGTCTTTCTCTCTGGTTTTGTTCTTTAATCTGCCTTGACCAGAATGGTTTTACACTGTTTCTAAATTTAAACAATTTCTTGTTTAGGTCAGCTTGACCACTGCAGTGTTAGTGCGTGCTGTGTTCCCACCCAGTTCTGTTTTGACTTCGCCTGCCGTGTTCCAAGCCTGCTGTAAGCTGTTCAGTTCATTTCAACTTGACTCTTTTTAAAGGTGAGTTCAATGTGGTTCCCCTGCTTGCCCCTTTACCCTTTCCTTTCTGATCCCTGATCCATGGAGCTTTGATTGCTATGATTGCTTTTGTTTCAGTTCCATTAGAATGTGCCAGAGGTAATGAACCTTGTACCTGCGAAAGGAAATTCTTCGTACCACCATGCATCACCAGCCTTTCTGCAGTCATCGTACCCAGCATCCAAATTTTGTGAGTACATTTTTTAGTCATTGCGAGGAGTTGGCTTCTTATTCTTTCCTATGATGGAGGTTTCCTTTCTCATCCCCTTCTTTGCTTGTTTTACTGTTGCCTTGGTGGCAAACCAAATCTAGCAAAGTCAAAATCAAACGCTATTGAGCCAAAATAATTAACATCGTCATGTTTTGGTGGGAAGGTTTCATTAAAATTGGCACATTTTGCTTCTAATCAGAGTTGTGAGTGGCATGTTGAAAGATTGATTCCTTCATTTTCTGTTAAGTGAATGTTTTTAATTTCTGATGAAGGTCAACAATCCCTTTTTGTATCTCGGCTGTGGCTATCACTTTGATTGACAAACAACCTTATCCACAACTCAATGATCGTTGTCTCACTGAAGTCTCTCTGCACTGCTAGCAGTTTGCCTTCATTAGTAAATTGTTTGTTATATTCATGACAGTTTCATCTTGGAAGAAATTGTTGTATTCTGATGAGAGCTTGCACTGTTCTGTTCTGATATAAACTAATTCAGATCAATCGTTTTTGGTTTTTTAATGCTGTATATTGTCAGGTTCACTGTAGATTCTTTGCAAATTACGCACCCACAGACTCACACTTGACTACTTGTCTGGTTCTGTTTTAAATTCAATGTAGCTTATATAAGGTTTATCTGTTTCAGCCCATGCCATTTGTGCCCTGATGGAGTATAGAAGGAATGGAGAGGGAGAGCTCAAAACATTGTCAGTCGAGTCACTCACCTAGTGGCCCAGACTTATGGATCTACTGAAGACACCACTCATTCGGTAAGAAACAATAAATATCCGCATGCCCTTGCAGTGAGAATTAAGAATGCTGCAAAATGACAGCTGCAGTACCATTCTGATATGACTAGGATTCTTATTCAATATTTTTATAACATTAACGAGAAAGCAACTAAGAACTCGATGTTTATTTCAAAAATAGTCTTTTAAGAATCAAATTAAAGTTTTACATAACATAGCAGTAAAAATAGTCTTTTAAGAATCAAATAGAAAGTTTTACTTAACATAGCAGTAAAAATAGTCTTTTAAGAATCAAATAGAAAGTTTCACATAACATGGCAGTAAAAATAGTCTTTTTAGAATCATATTGAAAGTTTCACATAACATGGCAGTCTGACTCTTTAAAGGTTTTCCTGACTGGCAATTCTTCAGGGATGAACTCTTTGGGAGTCTTTTTGGGAGACAACCATGCTGGATTCCAGAACCCTGTGAACAGACCAGTTGTTTTAGCTCTGGTTATATTATTGACTCTGGGAGCCTACTTGATAGGGTAAATTACCTTCCGGCGTAACAGGTCTCTTTGGTCCTCTGTGCCTTGTACATGCTTGAACAGTCTTGGGGCTCAATTTAGCCGCTTTGACAAACTGAAAAGAGGAGGAAAAGATTATCAGCTTAGGGCAACAATGATATGACGTGTGAAGGCATAGTATTAAAGTTACTTACACCCTCACATTCTTCACAGGTGTGTCCCTCTAAGTTCTTCCTGCGCTTTCCGCGCACTTTCTTTGTTGTTTCTTCAGATTTAGGCACTCTGCGTATGAATGGATTCATGTGTTAATATGACATCTGAATATTGGTTTTTTTTTCTTGCAATCTATCAATGTTTACAGTACCTGTCATAGCTGCTTGGTGTTTTGGGCTTTGGCTGATCACCTCTTGGTGGAGTCTTGGGCGGCGAATCACTATTGCCTTTTGTTGTCTGAGCACTTAAACTGAAAAGAAGAAAATAAAAAAACCATTGTCAGCCAAGTTCTTAATACATGAGTATTATTTGTCTGGATCATTGTCCTCTTATGAATTTTTCTATTGTCCCTTTGATAACCTAGGGAGGGAGCTGCTTCACAAAGTCATATAGCTATTTTAAACAAACTTACCTTTGTTTTAGATCTTTCAGCTCTTTTTCCAAAGCTTCAATTCTTTTCTTGTAGTCGGGGCTATTTTTCGTTGACATTTTTTGAAATTGATGAGCGACTTATGACTGACAACACACAAACTTTCGACTTGTCGTTAAATTCACAAGTTCAATCAGACGCGGAGGCTTGGAGGTCAATGACCGTTGTTGCCAAGCCCAAGGAGCAGCCAGGATGGTGGGGTTGGCGCAGGGACTGCCGGCCTGTAATTTCATTACCAACATTGCCAAACGTTTCATGAGTATTTCATGGCAATGTTGACTCCGTGATCAGTCAAAGCTCAAATATTTTCCATTCCAAATAATTTATTTATTGTTTTTAGGTAACGCATAATCAAAAAGCCTGAAAAATTCTGGGAACCAGATGCAGCTTTAAGTCTGTGGAGTTGGCAGCTTTGAGCGCGCGACACTGGATTGGTCCCCGCGGTGCTGCATTCTTCATTGGCTGCGAGATGGCTGCAGTGTGCAAAGGAATTGAATGTAAGTCGCGCGTCGAATGACCGACATTTCCGACATAAATTAGTATCATGTTTAGGCTGCAGTAGAGAAGATAGAATTAGATTGTTGCTGAGCGAAGCGAAAAGTCAAAAATGGGCGGGAATGGGGACTGGATGAGGAGGGGAGAGTTAGAGAGAGAGAGAGTACGGTGCAAGGGTCACCAACCTCGTTGGTGCAGCGTTAGCAACAGCCAGTAATTTATTCCCTATCATAATATTATAGCCTAAAAGGCCGACAGGCAGATAGTTTTTTAAAAAATATCTTAAGTACGGTTTTCAACCGTTTATATGGGGACTTTTGAGTTATATATTACTATAACCGCCTTTATCTGGGGACGCGAGGATATTTGATTGTGCTAGTTGGCAACATCTGGAGGCATCGTTCTTTGAATTTGAGATGCTGGTTGATTGTTGTGGAGACGTTTGTGATGTCGTTTTTAACGATGATTGATATTCTTGTGCTTTGAAGGTCTGATAAAATGAAGCCTCAAAAATCAAGTAAACGATCTGCTTGCCTGGTAGGGCTCTGCGGCGTCGAACCACCAGGTTAGTATAGAAACCCAGCCAACAATCTATTGTGTTTTGTAGTTATTCCTGGTGTTCCTTTTTCATGGATTAGAAGTAGTAGTTCATAGTCGAACTCTTACCACCACAGCATCTTAAATTTGAACTGGTACTCTACTGTTGCTCATGTGTGAATGAACCAGCTAACCTGTACAACCACAACAGTAACTTAGCCAAACTCTCAAGGAATGGTTACATCTTGCTTTCATTGTCTGTTTCTTCTTCTTCTTCTTCGTATTATTCTTGTTTTTATTTTATAATAAATAAATTGAGTGTCTTTTTGTCTTTCCAGCTGATCCATCAAGACATTCAGGACCCCTTCGAGAGAAACGACATCAAGTACCTCAAGGTAAAGTGGCAATAATCTTAACGATCCGAAAATAGATATGATTTTGGTTCTTTGCTCCCCAATTCATAGTAAATTCTCTCTTTCATTGGCTGTTATTAGATGACGGTTGTGAATCCGATGCCTCACTAAGCTCCTTCACCGGCTCTGAACGTAATTTGTTAGACGAACTTTGGCTAGCACGTGAGTGAAATGATTGATTAGTGATATTTTTCCGCAAGACCTTTAAAACCAAGGCTTTCACTTATCTTGTGATTTTCTTTAGAACATGTTCCAGCTTCATTGCAACCTACAGGGCAGAACTTAGTGTCTTACTCCTCTAGTCCAAACAAAGAAAATATTATAGCTGGTGAGGAGCAGGAAACTGGTAATAATCTTGTTGTGTGCAACTGCCAATTAAAACACACATTGTTTGCTGTATGATTAAAATAATAGCCATAAGCCTTCTTTCATTAATATTTGTATTGTCTATGCTGCAGGGACAAGTCAAATGTCAGAACATGTCAAGAAATCAAAAATACCCAAACCAATTGTGCAACGCAGAAATCTTGGTGTGCCAAGAAGACTGGTGATACAGAGTAATATTGTCTTCATTGCCGAAATTTCGTTACCTATCAGGAGATTTTTTTTGTCAACTCTAATTCATTCTTATTCTTTGCAGCTAACTGCTTGTCCAAACAAACAAAGAATACGCCATCTGCTGCCAAAAGTTTACTGGACACACTCAAACAGTCATCACCAGAATGTGGTAAAATTGAACAGCACGTTGTTGGCAATGGAGAAGGTTCTCTCAAAGGTGATTAAACTTAATTGCCAATCAATTTTTCAAACTGAAAATTTTGCTATCTAAATAAATAACATAAATTTGCTTTTGCTTTACAGGAAATTGTGTGTCTGAAGAGCCCATAATTTCAGATGATGCACCGGACACACATCCATCATCACCAGGACCTAACTTAAGGGGAAAGCAACATAAACCATTTGCTGTTGGCAGCATGAAAGTTTCTCCTAAAGGTAAAATATATTTAATTAATTTTTTTTTTAAATGAAACTTTTGCTGGGGTCAGTGCAGGGAAAAACTGGACACCCCATATTTTATTTCAAAGGCTGTATGCACAGGCTCAACAACTATCATGTAATAACACGCTGATGCCACGGAACAACTTTTGATAGTTGTTATGCCTGTGCATACGGTATTTGAAGTAAAGTATGGGGGGTTTAGTTTTTCCCCTGTCCAGTTCTTCCCCGCTCTGACCCTATCTTCATGAATAACATACTTTGCTTTTGCTTTTTAGGAAACTGTGTGTCTGAAATAAATGGAGAAACCATTCTTCCTGCTGCAAGTGCTTTACAAGAGACACATCTGCCATCATCATCTAAGCAAGATGATCAAGATCTTGGTGCGGAGCAACATGGATCACATTCTGTTGGCAATGAGGAAGTTTCTTTGCAAGATGGTCAAGAAGAGAGCAATGAAGATACTCATAAAGGTAACATATTTGAGTGCAAAAAAGTCTAATCTTTAAAAATAATTATTTCTTGAAAATATTAAACTTATTCTTACACTTGCTTGACAGGAAGCAGCTTTTCTTTGAATGGAAGTGCAGACCATGGTTTATCGTCCCCTCTAAAGTCATCTCCAGAACTGAGTGAAAACGAACAGCCTGTGAGCAATACAAAAGCTTCTCGTAAAGGTACATTTTTGGTCACATTTTGTTTTGACTTAAATCCTTTTTATTTTACGGTCAGAGTCTTTGCTGGCTGACAGATGCTTACAGCTGTTGTATTTCTCTTCTAGTTGTTTCTCCCTCTGAAGAGCAGCTAACTCCCTATCAAAGATTAAGACTGAATAATCTGGCTGAAAATCAGAATCATTGGGAACTTGTGAAGCAGAGAAACCCTGGTACATGAATTATCTTTGCTCACAAATCAAAGTTAGTAATTCCTTTACAAACCTCTATTTTGAAACTGTAATTAATTGTTTGCTCGTTAGGTGTGCTGGCTCCTCTTTCAATGAATTTGCCGCTAATTTCCAAGACTTCAAAGTTTAAACGAACCGGCTTCAACAACTGTTCTAATGACTTCAATACATCATCAGGTACAAAATCCATCTCCTTTGCTCTCATTATGTATACACTAAGCGTATGGTTTTTGGAAGAATTTTCTTGTGTATTGCAGGCAGGAAAGTACCTACAAGAAATAGCAGTGAGGTAGCTAAACAGCTACTCAAAGAAACAATATCCAGCTCATCTGATGATTTGGGTGAGGACTCATCAGACGGAGGCATTGTCCCATTAACAGGAACAGAAGAAGAAGATTCAGATTCATCTAGTCCTTCCTCAAAGAAATCTGTGAATGGTATGCATGCAAAATATTTTATCGCCTTTAACTGTTGTTACCGTTGTTACTTTACAATTATTTTACAGGTGCAAAGAAATCTCTTTTTGGGAAAAATAAAACATCAATTAAACATACATCAGCTCAGATTATAGCATCAAGTCAGGGTTCTGCTGTCTCAGAAAAGTTTCGCAAAAGTACTCGTCCCCTACATTCTAACAATAATACTGCTTCAAAGAACCAGCAGCCCAGAGGTATGACCACCAAATTCTAAAACTTGGTTGTAGTCAACTATGTGACTATAACTGTAAATTTTGATATTTTAGAAATTATGAATGAAACTTCTTCTGTTCTCTTTCATTGGTTGATCAACATACAATACCTTGTTTCCTTAGGTGCCCAAAAGCCTCCTTCCTCATTGAAGCCCCAACTTCAGAATACGAAATCTGGAACGCTATTGTTTGCTGATGATGATGAGTTTATTACTCCTCCTAATGTCAATGGAACGCTATTGTTTGCTGGTGATGATGAGTTTATTACTCCTCCTAATGTCAATGCAACAAAGAGAAAAGCAGTGTCACTAGGTTCCAAACCTCTGGACAAACCTGATGTCAGTTCCTCTCCAAATAACCTCATCTCACAGCAAAACCTTGGTTTGTTATTTTTTTAGTTACTTAACTCCCTTTTCTTTTATTTCTATATTAAGATACAATTATTTTTTTCTCTTAGGTGGCCAAGAGCCTCCTTCCTCATCGAAGCCCCAACTTCAGAATACGAAATCTGGAACTCCATTGTCCGCTATTGATGCTGAGCATAATACTACTCCTAATGTTAATGCAGAAAATAAAAGGAGAGCAAAATCACTAGGTTCAACGAATCTGGATAAAATTGAGCTCACCTCCTCTTCCAATAATCTCATCTCACAGCAAAACCTTGGTATGTTATTTTTTTTAGTTACTGAACTAACTTTTTTTTATTACTTGATTAAGATACAATTATTTTTTCTCTTAGGTGCCCAAAAGACTCCTTCCTCATCGAAGCCCCAACTTCAGAAAAGAAAATCTGGAACGCTATTGTTTACTGATGATGATGAGTTTATTACTCCTCCTAATGTCAATGCTCCAAAGAGAAAAGCAGTGTCACTAGGTTCCATATCTCTGGATAAACCTGATGTCAGTTCCTCTCCCAATAATCTCATCTCACAGCAAAACCTTGGTATGTTATTTTTTTAGTTACTGAACTAACTTTTTTTTATTACTTGATTAAGATACAATTATCTTTTCTCTTAGGTGCCCAAAAGCCTCCTTCCTCATCGAAGCCCCAACCTCAGAAAAGGAAATCTGGAACTCCGTTGTCCGCTATTGATGCTGAGCATAATACTACTCCTAATGTTAATGCAGAAAATAAAAGGAAAGCAAAATCACTAGGTTCAACGAATCTGGATAAAATTGGGCTCAGCTCCTCTTCCAATAATCTCAGCAGACAGCAAAAAATTGGTTTGTTTTTTTTTTTTCAATATTATTGCTCACTATTTTTTCCTTTGACTTTTTCATTTACTTTGGTTTTTCTTTCTCAGGTCCCAAAACATCCCTGAAGTCAAACTCAACTTCATCAAACAAGGCTGTTTCACAAACTTCTAGTTCAAGTTCAGAGGATTCTGATCATTCATTGACTGACATAGATAATGTCTCAGTTTCTGGTAATAGAATATTCATATTGCAGTTTCTGTTTTATAGTATTGATTTGTCTCCTTCCTCCATTTTAAACTTCTGTCTGTTCTTTTACCAGGTTGTGATAATGATTTGTCAGAACCACTGTCAGCTGGTGAATTACATGACCATCTTCAGACAACAAAACAAAAACCTCCAAGGAAAGTTGAACTTAAAAGGGAGAGAAAGAAGCTTCGTAACTGTGGCAAGTCTTATGTTAGACAAAATGGAAAAACAGTTATGGAAAGAAAGCCATCTGAAGTTCATGTCTGTTCTAAACTGAAATGTCAAGACATTATCACTGAAGAAATTGCCGATACTTTGTGTCAAGAGTTTTGGAATTTAGCTGATATTGACAGAGAGAGACAGTACATTGCCTCCAGGATCAACCGCTGTCGTCCTGTGAGAAGACGACAAAGATTTGACGACAGTGAACGTAGCAGGAATTTCCAGTACAAATATTACCTTGACATCAATGGAGAGCGGCATCAGGTGTGCAAAAGTACATTTTTGGGCACTCTATGTCTTTCAGAAAGAATGGTTCGCACTGTTACAGACCAAGTTGCCTCTGCAGTCTCCAGCTTGCCAGTAAATGATAGGAGAGGACATTGTGCTCCGAAGCACAAATTACCAGCTGCAACAGAAGCAGCAATCAAGAAACACATTGATTCTTTTCCATCTTATGTATCACATTATGCACGGGAACAAACAAATGCTCTATACTTTGCATCAAATCTCAACTATAAGAAGATGTACCAATTGTACTGCGAGGCAGATTATCCAAAAGTATCATACTCTGTATATTATTTACGTGTAAAGGCATCAGGAAGAAAATTTAAAAAGGCAAGCTTTGCTACTTGCTCCAAATGTGACAGATTTAAGTTACAAATTGATGCAGCAACATCAGAAGATGAGAGGAGGTCATTAAGAATTCAGCTTGAGAGACATCACAGGAAGGCTGAACAAGCATATGCTTTGAAAAGGGATATGAAAGAGGAGGCTGAAGCAGATCCTACCATGCGCGTGCTTGTCTATGACATGGAAAAAGTACTACCCTGCCCCTATCTGAAGTGCAAAGATGCATTTTACCTGCGACAACTCAGTGTCTTTAATGTAACTGTAACAGACACCACCACTAAGCGCACCACAGTAGGCTGAAACACCCTTTACGGCGCTCAAAACCTATATTTTAGCCATTTTTGATCGTATATGTCCCAAAATTGGTACAGACCCTCTTTTGGTCTTACTTTATGAGATTTTGACCAAGCGGCGGCAAGTGTGACCTTATCTCAGCCGTGGTTCACAGAAAATTGATTTAATATAATCGTTTTTATGTTGTATATTTCTGAGTCTGCGGGAGCACTCTCTCTTTCCACTAGATCAATGCAAAACATATTGTAGGTCTTTTTTAATTGTTAATTTCAGACGAAACAATTGAATACCGCTTAAAGGAGTCAAAAACATCACTTAAATTATATGTGCGTTCTTAAAAGCAATATTGTAAGAAATCATGGTTACAGATTTTATAACAACTGTCAAACTTCAATATCCTAAGATCAATGATATACCATTTAACTCTTCATGGAACAATAACATGGCAGGCTCAATAGCCTGGTTATCGAAGGGGTCAACTAAAAGTGAAAGAACAACTGTGGCACACAGTTTTTAAGACTTCAGCTTTAGGTTTTTTTTTTCTGAAAGAGCTGATCACAGGATCAGATGAAACAACATTGCAGTCAGAAGCTGCCTTCCCATCAATTCTGTTGCACTTTCCGGGTGGTCTTTTCTGAAGGGTTAGTTGCAGAGAAGAGGCGGGGGGGGGGGGGGCTAGGGAAAAGGAACCAAAAAGCACATGAAAAGATAAGGGATGGTTGGGATGGAGAGACGGTTGCTTGGATTCTTTCTTCGTTCTACCGAAAACGGGTAAATTGCCAATTTTATAATGTTTCACAGCCGCGTATTACTGTTTGCGCAAATATGCGCAGGTTTTCTCTGTTGATCCTCTCAATTGACACATAGGTTGATAATTTCCAGCGCTGAAAACTGCTTGATAGTGCTTGATTCTATAGTAGATCTCAAACTTTTGTTTATAAAGTAAAAATTATGCAAATAAAGCGATTATATGCACACCAACACCCTTCAAATTATCGCAGGAAAATAACTCGGGTATCATTTTGAACGGGAATACTTGTTCTTTAAAATGGAACAACCAGAGGTTCAGAATCTAGATGAAAAGCCGTCAAAATCACAGTGGCGTTTTGTTGCATTTTTTACTAAAAATAACACATTATCACAGGTTTTAAATTTGACGGCCTGTAGTAGTCATAGTTTTGGTCTGACAACAAAAATACGACCAAATTTGAAATCTGCGAAAAATTTCCCATCCGATGGACAAGGAGGTTGCCCGTTTGAACGATTTTTAAGAAAGAGGTTTTGAGCGCCTACAAGGGTGTTTTAGCCCACTGTGCGCACCCACTGTTACATGTGGGATGAAGTTGAAGGAGGGCGCTCTGCCAATTCAATAGCATCATCAGTCCTGAAGCATATCATATCTGAAGTTCCTCATGGTGTCAAAAGAATTGTAATCTTCTCTGATGCTTGCACATCCCAGAATCGAAACAGTCATGTGGCCGCTATGTACCATGTTGCACTACAAGAGCACCCAACTCTTCAAACCATTGAGCACATCTTTTTAATCCCAGGCCATACTCACCTTGAAGTGGATAACAAGCACTCTGTTATGGAACGCTTCAAGAGCAACAGGGATAAAGTCAGTCATCCCGAAGAATATTATGACCTTATTCATGAAGCGGGTCTCACAGATTTGGAAAATTTTCCAGATGGAAAATTTTTTGTTGTTCGTATGCATAAGAAGTTCTACAACTTCGCTGATCTTTTAAGTGGACCCCTTATTAAAAGGGAGGTCACACTGAATCAAAACAAGTTCAACTGGCTGGATACAAATTGGTTCAGATACACCAAAGAAAAGCTGGGATTAGTTGAGGTGAAGGCATCTTACAACCCTCTTGCGCATTTTGATGTGCTCAGTTTTCTTCGGCGTGGAATCAAGTCATCAGCTGTCGCACACCTTGCACCACTGCTGAAAAAGTTCTACACCTCTCCGCAGCCTATTTCAGAGTTGAAGAAGAAGGACTTGATATCCATGCTCCCATTCATTGACAAGAAGTACCATGAATTTTACCACAGCCTTCCTACTTCTCCAACAGCACAGGATGTTGATCCCGACTTAGAAGATTGAGATTCAAATTTTGGGGAGCTGTTCAAATCTGCTATTCCAATGAATTTTGTTACAAATGCTTTTAATTCCTATTAAGTAAAAGCTCAGAACATAGTACTCGTTGGCTGGTTGAATATTTTAACATTCAACCTTCCCTTGCACTTAGTCTGTAAGTTTTATGTAACTTGTAACTAGTCATAACAGCCTGCATTACTGTTCTTAAAGGATTTCCAATGCATTCTGTAACTGTTTGTTTTAACCAGTAAAGTAATGAAATTGAACCTAGATGTTTTGAAATAATTTATTGACTTGTTATTTATTAATAGGCCAAATAGTTAAATTTTTTGCATTCCCTTGCATTTACTTTCTAAGATGTATTTAAATTGACTTATACGGGTTAGTATAGTTATCTTGCAAAAGATGATATTATGTTAATAAATTTCACTATCTACATTTCTATAATTGGTAGTTTTAACTAGTAAAATGATGACTATATGTTATGAATTTTTTATTTATTGATTGTTATAATTGGTCGAATAGTTTAATTTCTTTGCATTCCCTTGCATTTTCTTTTTAAGATGTATTTAAGCTGTTACTGCTCTTTATTAACTATTGAAACTAGATCTCCTGATTATCTTGCAAAGATTATTTTAACAAAATGTAAATGAATGCAACTAATGCATTTCTATATTCTATGTTCGACTGTATTTAGCATTTCATAGTGCTGTTGATGAAATAACAAGTTATTTTACTATTTTGTCTTTAGTGTTTTTCATTTGTTTGCCTACCACTTATCACCAGTTGGTTGGTGGATCTCTTTTGATGCAAACACCCCCTTACATAGGAGGATGACATTGGGAGAGGGATAACAATTTAAAGAAAATAATAACAATTCATAATTTATTTGTTCCCTTTGATGCTGCTGCTGCCTTCTAAGACCATCTCCTTTTCCCTTCGTTCTTGTGACACGCATGTGACCACCTGTGCATACAAAGAAAATTAGTTCTTAAAAAAGAAAATGCAGCCCACACTGCTCTGCACTGGGCAATTAAAGTTTCTCAGTTTTAAAAGGGCATGCGCATATTTATTGTTTCTTACCGAATGAGTGGTGTCTTCAGTAGATCCATAAGTCTGGGCCACTAGGTGAGTGACTCGACTGACAATGTTTTGAGCTCTCCCTCTCCATTCCTTCTATACTCCATCAGGGCACAAATGGCATGGGCTGAAACAGATAAACCTTATATAAGCTACATTGAATTTAAAACAGAACCAGACAAGTAGTCCAGTGTGAGTCTGTGGGTGCATAATTTGCAAAGAATCTACAGTGAACCTGACAATATACAGCATTAAAAAACCAAAAACGATTGATCTGAATTAGTTTATATCAGAACAGAACAGTGCAAGCTCTCATCAGAATACAACAATTTCTTCCAAGATGAAACTGTCATGAATATAACAAACAATTTACTAATGAAGGCAAACTGCTAGCAGTGCAGAGAGACTTCAGTGAGACAACGATCATTGAGTTGTGGATAAGGTTGTTTGTCAATCAAAGTGATAGCCACAGCCGAGATACAAAAAGGGATTGTTGACCTTCATCAGAAATTAAAAACATTCACTTAACAGAAAATGAAGGAATCAATCTTTCAACATGCCACTCACAACTCTGATTAGAAGCAAAATGTGCCAATTTTAATGAAACCTTCCCACCAAAACATGACGATGTTAATTATTTTGGCTCAATAGCGTTTGATTTTGACTTTGCTAGATTTGGTTTGCCACCAAGGCAACAGTAAAACAAGCAAAGAAGGGGATGAGAAAGGAAACCTCCATCATAGGAAAGAATAAGAAGCCAACTCCTCGCAATGACTAAAAAATGTACTCACAAAATTTGGATGCTGGGTACGATGACTGCAGAAAGGCTGGTGATGCATGGTGGTACGAAGAATTTCCTTTCGCAGGTACAAGGTTCATTACCTCTGGCACATTCTAATGGAACTGAAACAAAAGCAATCATAGCAATCAAAGCTCCATGGATCAGGGATCAGAAAGGAAAGGGTAAAGGGGCAAGCAGGGGAACCACATTGAGCTCACCTTTAAAAAGAGTCAAGTTGAAATGAACTGAACAGCTTACAGCAGGCTTGGAACACGGCAGGCGAAGTCAAAACAGAACTGGGTGGGAACACAGCACGCACTCACAGCACAGCAACACTGCAGTGGTCAAGCTGACCTAAACAAGAAATTGTTTAAATTTAGAAACAGTGTAAAACCATTCTGGTCAAGGCAGATTAAAGAACAAAACCAGAGAGAAAGACTGAGAGAAAATGTTTTCTTTAGAGCTAGTATTCGGTAATCAAAACCATTTTATCCTTTCTTTACTGTGCCTTGATAACAATTATAATTAAAAGACAGTCAACTTATTTGTTTGCATAAATTTCCCACTAAAAACAACAACAGTTGAAAGTAAAATTGTTTTAAAAATATATCAATGAACCAAAAAGCAAATGGTTTTGCATTGATCAGTACAGTGGGTTCATCACCTCACCTACCAGTCCCAGGTAAGACACAAGAACATTGGCAAGGAGACCACAAGGGGGAAAAAAATGAAATCAGTCTGGAAGAAAATATGACTGGAGAGAAAACTGTAGACAGAATGTTGGAGTATGAGGCGCAATAGTAATGATGTTCTTGCTATGAACTCATCAAACTTATCCCTCATCACATATTTACTTCAAGCTTAGGCTGTTGTGTCCATCTCTCGGTGACAAGAGCAATTGATTTCGACTTAGCTAGATTTGGTGTGCCACCAACGGCAACAGCAACAAGCAAAGAACGGGGAGAGAAAGGAAACCTCCATCATAGGAAGTAACGAGTAGCCAACCCCAAGCGATGATTAAAAAATGTACTCACAAAATTTGGATGCTGGGTACGATGACTGCAGCTGGAACGGCAGAAAGGCTGGTGATGCATGGTGGTACGAAGAATTTCCTTTCGCAGGTACACTTGCTTTCTACTCTCTGGCATATTCCGATGAACCTGAAACAAAAGCAATCAAATATACTACACGACAGTGGCAACAAAGAGGACTGTGTCATCCAACCGCTCAAGCTCAGGTTATTAACAATGTAATAAAGCTATCTCAAGCAAGAGGGAGAGTATTTATTTCGGCTACAGAAAAAGGTGCATCATCTTCATCGTGAGATGATCAGCTTTAATCGCAGAAAATCAGAAACTATGAAGCAATGTGTAACAAGGTATGAAAGCATGACCACATCTTCTATAAACGGCCGCAGCTTAAATTAGGATGAGGCGAGGCATAACAAGACTTGTTTGAACAGAAGAAAATTAATATAATAGCCAAAGAAGGGAGGTGCCAGTTAATCAAAGAAGAGTGCAAAGGCTGCCTGGATAGATCACTTGGTTACATTCAGCACGCTGAGCAACAAGCCGTCTTCTGCTTTGAGGGGTGGGGTGGGGTGGGGTGGGGGCAAAAAAATAACAACGAAAAATTCAGCAGAACTGCCAGAAAGAAAAACAAGACCGCTTAAAAAGCATGCCCCAGCCGGAGCTATGTGAAAACGAAAGCATGCGATGCAAAAATCAAGATAGTGGAATTTTTTTTACCCTTCCGAGCTTTTTCTCTCCAGAAGATTTATTCACGGGTTTACACCACACTTTATTTTCTCATAGCAGCAGACGACGAGACGACGACGACGAAGTGCCCCCGACCGCAGGATTGCAATTGCAATTTAAATGTAATGCAACTGCACTGTTTGTAGTTTTGTAGTCTGCTGTTTAGTTGATGCAAGCTCGTCTCGTTGTTCGTTTCGGTTTTCCAGAGACAATGTAAACTTTTCAACTTTCGCACACCATTCACTTGCTGTCAGTGAAATCAAATAAACAACAGGAAAGCAAACGTGTGCGAAATGCCGGCTGTCTCGTCACCCCCCAGCGCTTGAGGGTCCAGCCCAACACAAAAACAGTGATGTCTGTGTCATCAAGGTGTCAAGAGGAGGTTATCAGCTTGGATGAGTCCTCTCCACTGCACCTCATGACTTTTAGGCCAGGTGCTGCCTAAGAAGATGAATGCACCATTCACCATCTTCATCGGACTCTGGTGAGGAAGAATGCTGATCTTTCAGGTCTGATCCCCCTCATAAAGATTTAAGAGTCCATTCTGAGACACGAATTGTACGCCTCATGCAATTGAGATGAGATTAAGAAAAACTTTTGTAGGATTCATAAGTCATTATTTGATTGGAACAGTATTGAGTAAACCACTCAGTGATCTCATGAGTGGACGTTCACCATTTTCACCACATTACCTGTGGACATTCGTCTCCGGTTAATTATCACTGGTTTATCGGGATGGTCTATGGACTTACGCCTGTTTGTCAGAATGCTCTATGGACTTACGCCTGTTTGTCAGAATGCTCTATGGACTTACGCCTGTTTGTCAGAATGCCCTATGGACTTACGCCTCTTTGTCAGAATGCTCAATGGACTTACGCCTCTTTGTCAGAATGCTCAATGGACTTACGCCTCTTTGTCAAAAACCCACCTGGACTTACGCCTCTTTGTCAAAAAATCACCTGGACTTACGCCTCTTTGTCAGAAAATGGATGGACTTACGCCTCTTTGTCAAAATTGGATGGGACTTACGCCCTTTGGACACCTTCTGTATCTTCTACATTTATTGAGATATTTTAATTTTTCAAAAACCAGTATACTTGTTATTCCATTGCAAATTGTTTTATGAAAAAAAGTGGATTTTGCCAATTTGTGGACTTACGCCTCTTTGTCAAAAAACCAGTGAAGTGCAGAGGTCTGCGGGAAGCTATGTAAATAATAGAAATAGGTGTTGTCAAAACGCCACAACATCTTTTTGCGATCAAGGAGGGATCAAAGCAACCCTCTGAGGTGTAAGCAGATTCATTTCTCGCACAGTATCGGAGTGAGTGCCAAAATCCAAAAAGTGTCACTAGGTGCCCCACCCTCCCTTACAACTTGAAACACTAATGAAGACTTAAATTCATGCAGAGAAGAAGATTGATTGGAGAAAGAATAACCATTTATACTGTTCTCCCACCATTCCCTGAACTGCTGGTACAGAGCATTAACAAGGGATTAGTATACATTAAGCAAAAACATACACGAAGAATGAATAGTTTTCTCCAGTCCCACATCCTAAGTGTTACCAAAGGGCTTGTTGGCGGAATGAGCACCGCCAACGCGGTTACTTTTAAATTTTAGGCTAAGTTAGATAGGCATCGGTTGGCCTGGACGACGCCACGATTTGTGTGTCGTTTCGCAATGTTTTCCGGCGGGCGTCCGGGCCGTGTTGACTTCAGTGAAGGGACCCCAGAGTGACCTATACTCGGTCACACGGACGGCTCTCCGCGCGGCAGGGTGTGCGTCACGCGCAGACTTTGAACGAAGGGCTGCCTCGCGCTGGAAGCGGCGAGCAGCGAAAATCCCTTCACTAAGGCCGGCACCGATGGTTAGCGTAAGGGAGTTTGTGCGCGGTGTCGTGGTAGCACTGCGTTATCGGCCAGAGTCGAAGGGCTGGAGCGCGGTGCTCCGGGGCACTGCGAGGACAGTCAGAGACGGAGAGTCTGAGAGGGTAGTTGTAGTTGGCTAGTGGATGAGTAAGAGTTCATGTAAGAGTTTGCAAAATATATAAGATTTACGATCAACTTCGTTACGTTTCTTCACGAAAAAACACCGATCACTGCGGACTCCCCAACATTTTGGCGCAGTCGGTAGGACCCTTATTGGAACTGTTGGGGCGAGTCTGCAGGGCTGAGGTGAGTATTTTGTGTTTGAATTTTCTTCCGATTACTTTTGGCGTAAACGAAGTTATTTTGACGTTTTAATGTTAAAAATTTTTTTTTTTTTTGTTTGCTGTACGTGAGTGTGTGTC